ACTTTTGAAGTATTTATTTTGTGCTTGAAATGTAGGACATTGGCTCTATTCATACCTAATATTTTATGAGCACCTATCCTGTGGACGAAATTAAGTTCAGAACTCATGTTCACATAAAAAAAATAATTGGATTGTAAAAGCTAACAGGCATATAGCAATTATTTTAACATTTTAATATATAAATGAGTAATGTTTATTTATAAAAACACCCATGACCAAACTCCATCAAATCTAATTTTCCCAGAGTTAAGGGCATATTCTAGTAAGTCTTTTCCTACATGCCAGAGAAAATTTTTAGCAAGAGCTACAATAATAAGCTTCCTTCTGAAGGAATAATCTTGTGATTTCATGCGAGAAAAATCTCTCCTTGAGGTGAATGAGAGGTGAAGTTGTGCAGGGTTAAAGCCAGAATTATTAGTTTGTTTTCCACTTTCTGACCAAAGGACAAGAGAACATTTTTGACTTTTTCTGGATTAATGTATATATATATATTTTATATATATACATGTGTATATATATATATATTTTATTTAATTTATATACATTTATATATAATATATATTTAATATTTATATATTTATTTAATTTATATATTAATATATATTTATTTATATATATATTTGCTTTGATTTTAGAAAATATGTAATTTTATTTTCTGAAAGTAAAGCAAATATTTCAAATACCATTTAACTAAAACCAACCATAAGTCTCATAGCTGATATTTCCACAAGTTTTCAGAGGTGGGAAAACCCTGAAAATTTCATGTAGAGAAAGTTCTTTCGGTTCCTCTTTATAGACATGCCAAATGTCACGCTTTCTGGTTTTCCTGGTAATCGAGAATCAGCAAGAAACTCTTGTTCTAAAGAGTGGCCATGGTCTTATATTCAGGATGCATGTGCTATGTGCTGGTTAGATCAGCATCAGAGAGCCTGGTGACAGCCCACAGCCCAGGGGAACCTTCATGTGGATGGTCTGCTGACCAATGTGATCAGCAGTCGTAGGACCTATCCATCCTGAGTGATGAGGGCAGGGAAAACCGTTTTGCCTTTCCTCCCAACATATTAAAATACTGATATCCTTTATACTGCAAGTTCAAATGAGTTAAACATACAACTTCAGAGGTAGACTTTGAATTATGAAGTCAAGAAGATTTTATAAATTATTAAATGATGGAAAAGTAGGATCTTAGCTTTCCTTTACTGTCTAGATAGAACAGAAAATGGATACTCCTGTTGAAAACTGATTAGTTTGTTATATCATCTCATAACTTCCCCCACTTCATCTTGGGTCTTAGTGTTTCATTACTCCCTAATCTTTACAGCTCGCCTTCCAAGCTTGTCTTCTTAGAGAAACCGGAAATAGGTTCTTCCGTGTGGGAGGCTAAGGTTAACAGCACAGTATTCTTTGTGTTCATGCTTAGTTTTAGGCTTAGCTTCTTGATGTCCAGTTACTCTTTGCTTTTATGACCCCTAGATCTTTCCCTCTTTTCATATAGATCTCAAGTGATTCCTCACTTTGTTTTTTAATATTCTATATGTCTGCATGTGCATGTGTGTACATTCATATATATATGTGTATATATATATATATATATAGAGAGAGAGAGAGAAAGACAGACAGACAGACATCTGAGTGACATTAACAGTTACTAACTATAAGCAGAAATGAGCATGTGTATGTGTGTGTGTGTGAGAGATATGTCACTTAACAATGGGGATTCACTCTGAGGGATGAGTCCTTAGGCAATGCTGTCATTGTGTGAACGTCTAGAGTGTATTTACACAAATGAGGATGGTATACTTACTACACACCTACGCTATATGGGACAGCCTAATGCTCCTCACGGGACCATTGTTGTATATGACATCTATTTGGTTCATTGCTAACTGAAACACCCTTATGTGGCACGTGACTATGTATGTGTAGGTATGTACACATACACATATAAATGTACATATGTGTGTGTCTTATACATATACATGAAAGGTCCTCAAAAAGTTAATGGAAAATGCATTTATACTCCTGACTTAACCAAGTATCTACAACTAAGTTATTAAGTGAACCGGTCGCTAAGTGAGGGCTTATAGGTGGATGTTGAAAGAAATAAACTCTTACTTTAATTTCATTTTTCTCAACCTTTCTGAAGTCCCTTTGTATGTGTATTTCCCCAGGACCTAGTAATTTTCAGCAAAAAGAAGTGGACATGGGTCTGAGCCATTCTCTAAATGCAGCTCTTAAGGTTTCCAGAAACCTGGAAGCCTGCACTTTTCACCTACAGACTGTCTATGCATGTGGCAATTTTTCTCTAAAGAGCAAACACTAGAGTCTCCTCATTTGTTTAAAAGATTATAACTAGTGCATTTTGAAGAGATACATGTAGATAAAAGAAAATACACTGGTTGTATTATGACTGTCCAACTTAGTATTAATTTCATTGACATTTGACCCTGTTCCATTTGGTAGATGACTAAGACAGTAACTCTTAGAAATGCTGAAAATGTATCACAAAACATAAGTAACCAATAAAGTGATATCTAAAGACCTTTAAAATGTAATGATTATTCAGGGAATTCATTATTTTGTAAATACCAATAGCATGTTTTTAAAAATAAAAAATGTAATTCAGGGACCAATGGATGGTGTAATGGTTACATCACTAGACTCCCATGTAGTTGACCACAGTTTAAGTCCTGGGCCTGAGACTTAGAACTCACACCAGGTGCATGCACATGCGTGCACCAAATCCCGAGACTGGAGGAGAAAGGATTGCAGCATGGCCATCCTCTCTGAGGGGGAATTTCTTGCTTTCTGTCTCTCTGACTCTCTCTGTGTCTCCGGTAAGCCCACATACCCTACAGCAAAAATCTCTCCAAAAAATTTAATTCAAACAAAAGTGTTCACTACAGAAACATGTCATAGGGAAATATTTAAAATTTTAAAGTCCAGTAAAATCACATGGAATCTTGAGCATAAAGCTGCTCCTGGATTTGATGTTCTAATCTCACGGAAGTGATTTAAAAAAAAAAAAAAATGCCAGAGGGCATATGTGCTCACCAGAGAGGAGAGAAAGAAAGCATCCCTAATGGGAAGTGGTCACACACAATCCCTTCTTCTCTATCACTCCCTCTTTCCAGAAGTTTAAGCATGCATGCACAAACACATCTAGCCTGTTTCTCAAACCATCAGGTCTGGAACTAAACCATGGGGTTGGCCATGTGGGATCTTGCTGCCTTCACCACCACCCCATAGGAGCCAACCCCATAAAAGTGTTTTGCAATTACAAGTTAATACTTTTCTTAAAGAATTATTTTATTTAACTTTATTAGTATTATTCTTTTCCAGTTTAGTCAGAGAGAGACAGAGAAAGAGAGAGAGGGAAAGTGGAAAAGCAAGCCACCAGATCAGGGACTTGAATCACAGTCGGCCATGTGGGAGTCCAGTGCCTTTAACCACCACACCACCTGCTGGCCCCCATAAATTAACACATCTTGTTAATGATATACTGCCATGACAGAAATGTTACTTAAACTTTTAAATATTGAAGAACTTTTTATATGTATCAATTTGGCTTATTAATATACTGTTGAATTTTTAAATATAGATACGACATATGTAACTTTTACAGAATTTTTTGTTTCAAAAAAGAGGAATACACTTGGAAATAAAGGTTCTTCAGGGTTGGTTTCATTTAAAATATACCCAGACTCTTTCTTTCCTTCCTTTTTTAATTATAAAATTAAAAAGGTAAAAGTATAAGTAGTAATTTGCTTTTGAAAATCACCCTCTGAACGTGGAGAAAGAATGGAAGCACAGGAGACTCCCAAATATGTGTGAGAAAGTGGAATCGAAATGGGAATTTGTTTTGGAGCACAAGAACTGTGAAATCTTGGACAGTTTTTTTGTAATGTTTACTTCCATGAACCGTTCTCACCCATCAGATAAGGACAGTTTTCCTCTGCCCTGAAGCAGGCCTAGCAGAGCCTGTCTCCAGCTTAGCCTCGCTCAATGTCATGGAAGCTACTATGAAACTGTGGTCTTTCAAGGACAACTAACACCAAAGCTAAATCCTTGACCCCATTAAAATGTTAGGAGACTGGCTTAATATTTTTTTTCTTTTTTCTTTTTTTAGTTTGCTATAGGGCACATGTGTTTGCCAGAGAGACTAAGAAAAAGAAAGAGAGTACAAAACCAATGTTGCTTCCCAACCCTTAAGGAGGGTTGACCACACCAAAATCCCTTCTCCATTCTGCTCTTGGGATTAGGGGCATGTATGTACATGCGCCTTGTGTGATTTTGAGCTGCTGGGTCCAGGACTTGGCAGTGAGCCACTTGGGATCCACCCTAACTGCACTACCTGGCTGGCCCAACTTTGGCTTAATTTCTATAACTCTGATAAAACCCAGAGATATTACATTCACCTATGATAAAAAATTAAGTGTGCCCATCTCATTTGCACACAATGAACCTTCTTGGTTTCACTGACATCTTTAATAATGTCCTAAAAATGCACACCTTTTCCAGGACAGTTATTGGGTAATTCCATGGTAATATCCTGCCCACGATTTGCTATTATTAGAGCTATTCTGAAGTGGTTATTATTCACATCGACCAAGATATAATAAATGATTATTACAAAAAGAATATGAGAAACCTAACAAACCTTTCAAGTTCCTTTTGTAACCAAGTGTTTTATTATTGCAAATTTGCAGAAGTATAACCATCAACCCAGATTTTTAATAGGTCAATATAGTAAGGAGTGCTACTTTAACTGTCAAACTCTCATTTTTATTGCCATTCAAGTTTTGGCAAGTATAACGCTGATAAGCCATTCCTCTGTGGAGTGACCTTCTTAGAAGGAAAGAAATCAGATTACGTGCCATCTGAGGAAATAAATCGTAGCAGAAGGTGTGATGGGCACAGATTCATTTCTTTTGTGAAGTCCCACCCTTTGAGTGACAGGTGGAAGGCAAAATGTCAAGAAGGAGTCTTGTTGGAACAAGTGCTTAGGATGGTGTTTAATACAGCAGGGAGCCAAGATACAGTAGTAGGACACAGTAAAGAATGTGGAGTGTATAGATTACAACAAAGAATTTCGATTTATGATCTGCCATCTGTTATTTGAAAGAGGGGTAAGTCAGGGAAATAGATGACTTTCAGTTCTCCATACATGCAAAGGTAAGTTAATTATTACAAAAGTTTTGCCATTGTATGTGATGAAAGAAAAGCATATGCATTTAAACATTTTTTAAAAATAAATCACTTGATAGGCTTCAGAAAAATAGTTCATATTTCATTGATCTGACCTTTCAATTTAAGATCAGGGGATAAATCTAGGATGAAAACAGAAAAAAGAAAACAGAAATGAATCATTTACCATGAAGAAGGCATTTCCAGTCTCAGCTAACCTCGACTAGTTTTTTATTGCATTATTTTCGAAATGCCAAGAAACTGGCTTTGGCCATAATATTTGCTGTCCAACTACATTGCAGCTGTCAATGTGCAATTGCTTGCAACAATTAGCTAAACACCATTCTTTGACAAATTCCCTTGAAAGAGACATAGATGCTGTGGGTGTCCAACACACGGAACCAAGTAACAATCAGTCCGGCTGGGTCTGCAGCACAGGAGGGAGCTTGTGAATTTTCACCCAAGGAAAGGGTTTCACACAGCCATAATGTGTTTCAAAACACACGTTTGTCCTGACCCTACAAGTTCCTTCCTGTTTTCAGGAACAACTGAACTGTGGGACTTGCCAGAGAGGAGGGAATAAAAAGCCACCAACTCTAGATTTCTTTTGAAGAGATCAGGAGGAGAGGAAGAAAAATAGAAATGGAAATGTGAAATGGAAATGATCTACAACATGGAGAAAAGAAACATCGTGAAGCCTGCTAGCAATTTCCACCAAAGCAGTAAACCCTTTAACTGACAGAAATTCAGTACAATATACACATTAATTAACACCTCCACCGTTACTAGGGCTGCTGTTTAAAGCCAAAAAAACCCAAAACTACAATATTCAAAAACAGAATTCTCATAAGAGTTGAGAAAAGTAGAGTGAAAAGGCAATGTTAGCTAAGCTCTTAGCTAAATCCACTCTTAATGGCCCCCAGTATTTAAACTATCATGGATTAAAGCCATGAAAATAAAAATTTCAATTTGAAATTTTATTAGCATGTTGCTAAAATGGTCAATAAAAACATCAACAGGAAAGGCTTTGTTGACATAGTTGGAAAACTGCTCTCTCGCTTTTAAACTTGATTTCCACTTCCCCACCCTTTAAGATTTCTATGTTAGGAAAAGCCAAACTAAATATACTGGCTATGGTGTTGTAATAATGCTGGTTTCTGGAATGTCGCCATGTCCTCCCCCTCCCTCTCTTCCAACCCCTTTAAAAATATGCCTCTTTTTTTTTTTTTGAAACGCAGCCTGAGGAGGGAGCAATCAGGCTCAGAACAAAAAGCGCTCTTCTTCACACGTTCAAGTTCCCAGACACCAGGTGAAGTAGCTCCTTTTCGGGGGCGGGGCCGGCTCTCCTCACCAAATTAGCTACCCCATTTTCCTCCCGGGGCCCGGGAAGACTTCGCTTCTGCCAACGAGGGAGACTCGCAGGCACATGCGGGTGGGGGTGGCGCTCGCTTCCCGGTGGAAAGAACGGGAAGCGAGTACTCCTTGAGCTTAGCCCGGAGCCTGGAATGCAGTGTCAGGAGACCTGGGGCTGGAGAGCGGGAAAGGTCCCGGGCAGCCTCAGGATAACCCGGAGTCCCAAAGTGCTCTCTTGTGGAATTACTCACAAGTGCACAAGGGACAGGCTCGATTTCTTGGAAATCCTGCGATCCGGGGACACACGGATACAGGAGTCGAACTGTGCCCTGAAAAGACCAATTCTCGCCTCAGGCCGGTCTGTGTGTGCGCGTTTGGGGAGGTGACGTCCCTTTTTAGTAAAGGGTAGTTTCCCTGTCGGGTGATAGTCATTGACCATTGACTCGCGGGGGCGGCCATGACCGTGCCCCCCTAAGACCAATCCCCTTTCCCCCTTACAACTGCAGGGAAAAGCGCACGCTGGGTCTCCCAATACCACCACTGGGGCTCTCGGCCAGGCGCGCCCAGGGGCGCCCTTTCAGTCCCGGGGTCAGTTCCTGAGACGTCCTGCCACTTGCCGGAGGGGTGCGAGGATGCGGCCTGGGCACTGGCCACCCGCGGCGACGCACGAGGGGGGCTGGGGTCGAGAATCGCCAGAGGCTAAGCCGGGGTGCGGGGACGGGAAGGGAGCCAGGCGCAGGGAGACAGGCAGGGCAGGCAGCCCCCCGGCGGCTACTCCTTGTCGTCCACCAGCTCGGCGAGCTCCTGCAGCACTCGCAGGCGGCCACTGGCGTCGATGCGGCGCTTCTCGCGGATGAGGTCTTCCAAGCTGTGAAACCTGGCGGTGTGGACTTTGTTCTCCCCCAGGTGCACCTTGAGATAGTACTGCTGCTGCGGGGGCTGCGTGCCGGCCGGCACCTCCCCTCCCGCCTTGAACTCCCGCTTGCCAAAGCGGCACCAGGCGGCGAAGCTCTCGGAGTTAGTCCAGCAGATCTCCTCGCTCTTCAGGCCCAGGTGGCCGCAGGCGTTCTGCACCACCAGCTCGGCCACCAGCGGGCGGTAGCGGTACCAGCTATTCACCACCCGGCCCACGTTGGCCGCGCCCGCCTCGTACAGGCTGTCCTGGCGGATCTCGCCCTGGTGCAGGTGGCTGATCTGCCCGCCGCCCCCGGAGACCGCACAGGGCGGGGGGGGGGC